GAACGAATGAACAACTGGAGTAGTAGCTTTGATTAAATAAATTTAAATCTTAGTGTTTTCTTAGTGTTAGAAGATTTTAGAAGAAATCAATTTAAGAGTCTGCCTTTAGAAACACACACACATGAAAAGGATCATATAAGCCAGTGATTCTCAACCTGTGGGTTCCCGGGTTTTTTGGCCTACAACTCCCAGAAATCCCAGCCAGTTTACCAGCTGTTAGGATTTCTGGGAGTTGAAGGCCAAACCATTTGGGGACCCACAGATTGAGAACCACTGATATAAGTAAAAAAAAAAAAACATGCACCACATGGAACTCTAAGAAGAAGCAGGGCAATAAGCAACCTATTGCCCTCTTTAGTTATGTTTAAAAAAACCCCGACTCATTTATTTATTTATTTATTTACAGTATTTATATTCCACCCTTCTCACCCCGCAGGGAACTCAGGGTGGATTACAATGTACATATACATGGCAAACATTCAATGCCATAGACACACAACATATATAGACAGACACACTGAGCCCCCGGTGGCACAGTGGGTTAAATCCCTGTGCCGGCAGAACTGAAGACCGTCAGGTCGCAGGTTCGAATCCGGGGAGAGGCGGATGAGCTCCCTCTATCAGCTCCAGCTTCTCATGTGGGGACATGAGAGAAGCCTCCCACAAGGATGATAAAAACATCAAATCATCCAGGCGTCCCTGGGCAACGTCCTTGCAGACAGCCAATTCTCTCACACCAGGAGTCACTCCTGACATGACAAAAAAAAAAAAAAAAACACACAGAGGTTATTTAACATTCCAGCTTTTTCATGAGGGTATTCTGGCCACCAGGGGAGCTGTCGCTTCTCCTCCATTTGTGACACTGATGAAGTACTTCCTCATTCTTTGCATGCTTGCTGGAGATTTTTATGGCATCATAAATTAGCCTCCCCACATAAGCGGTACCTAAATTTCCTACTTCACAGATGCAACTGACTTTCAGGCTGCAAAGGTCAACAGCAAGCTACACAAATTGGTCGGAAGCCCACTCCAACCCGGGCTGGCTTCGAATTCATGACCTTTAATGGGTAAGGCATTAATGGGTAAGGCAGGGCAATAAACCTTAGAAGCAACAGTCTCAGATGGAAGACAGTTCAAACAAGGATGGTATTTTTATTTTGATAAATTGGACCAAATGGGTGCTTCAAATGAAGAGAGAAACTTCCAGTGGTAATTGATAAGACTGAATAATATTGAATGATTGTAATCGGGAAATTATGGGGAAATTGCTATTTAGATAAACAACTGTTCAAAGTACGATATGGGAAGATGAAAGGGGATGAAAGGGAAAGAAGCATGGGAAAAAGGATGTTTGAAGGTGATGTTTAAAGGTGTACAATGTACTTGGAAATCTTATAAAAGCCACAACAAGCTGCATCTCAGGGTGGAACTTCCTTTTGATTACTGCTACCTGGCAGTTCCATTTATTTGCAAATAAAGACTGTCGTATTTCTATTTCCTCTGTCTCCCAGCGCCTCATTGAGAACCGGGCCTTGAGAGGTTTCAACAGGGTTTGCTGTCTTAAAAGAGGCATCACAACTCAGCCTCGATAATCAAATGGTTTCTGGGCAAATTACAAAGTGCTGGTTGTTGACTTTAAGACCCTAGATGATTTAATTCCAGGTTACCAATGAGATTTTCTTTCTCCTCTAAACATTAACTTCAGTCAGCCAAAATTTGGCTGACAGTTCTTTCACAAAATACAATCTTCAACCAGCTCGAGACTGTGGAATGACCTGCTTTGTCAACTGGATTGGCTGACTGATTTTAAACTAGCCATCTTTTCCAGAAACCCTATGAAATTATGAATTTTGAAGAATACATTAATTTATTGTCGAAGGTTTTCATGGCTGGAATCACTGGGTTGTTGTAGGTTTTTTCGGGCTATATGGCCATGTTCTAGAAGCATTCTCTCCTGACATTTCGCCTGCATCTATGGCAAGCATCCTCAGAGGAACAATACATTAATTGTTTTTATTTACAGTTTTACCATATATGTGCCTTTTAACTGGTGTTGGGGGTTTAGTATATTTTTGCTTCCCACTGCAATTGAAATAATGAAGTGGAAAAGAAAGAAATATAATTATAATTCATTTAAACAGTACTAGGGGAAGGTGATGAAACATATTTAAAAATTGAATTGCATGTTCCAGATGCTTTTAGGAAATGGACAACTCATTACAAGTATCTAGGACTGCAAAAGGAGCTTTTGGGGGCCACATGTGGCACAAGGGTCACACTTTGCTCCCTGCTGATTCAGGATGGCCCTTTTTTATTTATTTACTGAAGGGAACTCAGAGCAACCTTACAATAGGCAGCAATTTGATGCCACATATAACAGACATATAATAAAATAAACATATACATTAAAACATAACATTAAAAGCATATAAACATTAAAACTAATTACTAAAACTACACAATTCGAAATAATTGTCAAGAAGCCGTTGCAGTCATGATTAGACATATTCCATCTTCACTTATTGCACTGCATTACTGCCCAAAGGCTTGGTCCCATAACCATGGTTTTGATTTCTTTCTGAAGGTCAGGAGGGAGAGGGTGGATCGGATTCCACAGCTGAGGGGCCATCACTGAGAAGGCCCTGTCCCTTGTCTCCACCAACCATGCCTGCGAAGGAGTTGGGACCGAAAGCAGAGCCTCCCCAAATGATCTTAACTGAGATGGTTCATAGAGAGAGATACATTTGGACAAATAAGCTGGGTCAGAACCATTTAGGGCTTTATAGGTTAAAGCCAGCACTTTGAATTGTACTCAGTAGCAGAATGGCAGCTAGTGGAGTTGACATAACAGGGGGGTTGTATGCTTCCTGTACTTTTCACATTGATTGGACCTTTCACTGATGCATTGTTTCTCCTTCTTCATCTCCAGACCCGAGACGCCAACCATACGGGAAACCTAGCGGCTGCGCGGAAAAGCTCCAGGATGACCCGCATTTTAGCCCATACAGCGCTGGGAGTGGGGCTTTGCATTACAATTATCTACAGCATCCTCATCTGGCGTGTGAGAACATTGGATTGATAACCTCCCAGCAACAAAAATTCCCCAAGAAGGCACTATATGCTTGTGTTTGTGATGGCTCAATAATACACAAATCTGTGGGAAAGAGCACAGAAAGCACAAATCTCTAAAATCAAAACACCCAGAAAGATAAGAATGGATTGGCATGTGATGATTGGACATTGCTCATATGATCAGTTGGACTGACTCAATTGTATGCCTCTTGCCAACAGTAACATATCACAATTCATGAGATAGGGTTAGATCCCCTTCTGATTGCAACTCTCTCCACTGCCTGTTCTCCAACCCAACTGCCTTTCCTGTTCTGATTCCTTACTTTGACTTTCTTCTCTTCTTTGGCCTCCTCTAGACTTCCTTTCTTGATGTTCTGGCATACAACCAAACCCAAACCCAGCCCAATTTCACTTGGTCTGCTGCCTATGCTTTTCAATAATCCACAGAAGAAAAGTATATATCAGGATATCACAAATTAATACCAAGTTCTGCTCTTCCAGACTACCTGTTCTATAACACAGAAGGTAAATGTGTGGCCTTCCAGGTGTTGTTAAGCATATGCTCCCATCATTCATCACTATTATTTGATGGTTTTCATGTAATTAGGGTGGGGACACTCCTCTAGTTTTCCTCCAGAGTTTAAAGGCTATATCTAATGTGCTGAATCTTAGCCACACAATAAATTCAGTACCCTGGATAGCAACTTTATATCAGAGAATGGGTAAAGTACAGCCCATGAGCTGCATGAAGCCTCCATGCCTGCTGTTGTGGCTCCCAAAATCTCTCCAAAGGTCAAAAAATTCCATAAAATGTACTCCTGTTTATAAACCTGCAGGTGAACAAAAAAATAATGTCAAGTCACTTCCTGCTCTGTAAAAAGTCCTCTTCTGGATCTAAAATGATACAGACATCCCCTGGAGGGTGGGACAAAACAACCTCTTTTGTTTTACAGAAGATGCCCTGGAGTTACAACCCTACAAAGGGCACCTTAGCATCCACCCCTTTCCAACAGTCACTTTTTCCTGCTTTGTTTGGACTAAAAACTCAAAGTGATTAACTAGCCAAATGACATGAAAACCACTGAACACCTGTGTCTGTCCAAAGAGCCTTTTTCTTATCCAACTAAAGTTCCATATACTACAGTAACCATTCTTGTTTTTTTTATTGTCAAATAATTTTAAAGAAAACCAGGAGAATTTGTTTGCCATGGACTCGGAAATCCGTTCTGTGCCCAGTGAACAGGGACATTGGGGTGCATGTGCCCTTTCTCAAGCACCTTCCTCAAGTCCTTCCATCTGTCCTGACACCTGTTTTCTTGGCTGTATTTAATTTCTGTTTTAAAAGCTGTCACAATATGGTCTTGTTTCTGAAAGTGCACCAAGATAACTGGAGTTTATCATGGAAACATGGTTAGTACACATAAAATCAGTGTGTACTTTGGATTTTTATTGGAGCTGTTTTGCATAGGTGTTAGGGACACTATTGTATATTAGAAATTGGAAGATCTCACTGGGTCACCTTTGTTGCCACCACAAGCCCAAGGTCTAGTACAAAGAATCATGAAGGGAACACAAGGGACATGATAGTCACCTTATTGAACAAGCTTGTTGAAACCAAAACACACCTGTTTTACTTCTGCTTCAGAGATTCAAATGGCAAGGAAAGAGGTTCTGTCTAAACCAGTGGTTCTCAACCTTTTTTGACCAGAGACCACTTTGATCAGGGACCATTCTCCAACATTAGTACCAAAAGGGTTACAAATCTATTTTTGTCAACTTTAGATTTGGTTCAGTTATTTGGGGTGCAGATTTATAAAATTGCATTGGATAGACCACATCAGATCTAGTTTCTGATATGGATTATATGCCATCTTGTAGTCGCCATCTGCTCACCCACAGAAAACCATATTTAATAATCTAGAGCTGATGTGGTCCCGACATCTCTGTTGCCTTGGTACTATAAGAAGGTTTTGCAAGACCGGTTGCTCTCGTTGCCGCGTGGTTTCAAGGCAATGGTGTAGTAGTGGTGAAGCCACAGACCATATTTTCATGCTTGTAGACCACTGGCGGTCCATGGACCACAGGCTGGGAACCACTGATCTAAACATTAGGTAGAATTTCCTGATGGTAAAAGCTTTTGGACAAAGGAATCAATAATCTCGTTGAGTGATGGGTTCTCCTTCACTGGAAGTCTTTAAACAGAGGTTATGTAACTGTCTTCCAAGAATCCTTTAGCTATCTCCTCCTTCATAGCAGAGGATTGAACTCAAAGACCTTTGCAGTCCCTTCCAACTCTGTGCACCTTTAGAGGCCTGCAAAATGCAATTCTCCATTCTGACCCATTCACAGGTTTTACATTTAAAAAAAACATCTCACAGATGAAAACCAAGATATGTTTGACAAAGTATCATCAGAGTGAGCCCAAGATGGAAAAAGTTATTGATGAAGAAGAACACAAAAGCTGGGAGAGGCTGCAGAAATCTGCTTCTGAATATGCCTCTTAGGAAAGGCAAAGGAATATCAGAATTATCCAAGAATAACCATCACAGAAGAATATCTCCTAACTGTTAGTTAAATGCTATGACTTTAGTGCATAATGTATATGTTATTTGATACCAGGAATCGGCATGGAAAAGGGTTTTTTTAAAAAGAAACAGTTTCATTAAAAAATCTTTGCAAAATATCATTGTTTTTATGTTTGAGCTGGAAAATGCTTACTTGTGCAGTGCTTACTTGTGCAGGGACTCTCATTGGTGATCTTTGGTCGGGGGAAGGGAGAGACTCAATTCACAAGTGTGGGGTAAGCCCCTAGAATCCCTTAAGAATCTCCAAACCCCAAAAGGGTTCCTTGGGGAAAACTGAACACTTCTATGGAATGTTGGGGGGAATTCTGAAAACTGCATTGACTATTTAAAAACACGCAAACATGGCGGTTACACTGTTTCTCAGAATACATACCCTCCAACAGTTTACAGATGAAAAGTAGGAATTATGGTAAATCATGAATTTACAATTTCACACCGGCTAGATCAGTGTTTCTCAACCTTGGGGTCAAATCCCCAAAGATCATCAGAAAACACATATTTCTGATAGTCTTAGGAACCCAGATCCCTCCAGTATTTTCTGTTGGTCATGGGGGTTCTGTGTGGGAAGTTTGGCCCAATTCTATCCATTTGTAGGATTCAAGTGGGTCTTTGATTGAAGGTGAGCTATAAATCCCAGCAACTAAGATGCCCAAATGTCAAGGTCTATTTCTCTCAAAGTCCACCAGTGTCCCTATTTGGGTATATTGAGTACCCATGCCAAGTTTGATCCAGATCCATCATTGTTTGAATCCACAGTGCTCTCTGGGTGTAGGTGAGCTACAACTCCAGAACTCAAGGTCAATGCCCACCAAACCCTTCCAGTGTTTTCCGTTGGCCATGGGAGTTCTGTGTTCCAAGATTGGCTCAATTCCATCATTAGTGGAGTTCAGAACACTCTTTGATTGTTGGTTAACTATAAATCCCAGCAACTGCAACTCCCAAATAACAAAATCAATCCTCTCCCAACCCCACCGGTATTCAAATTTGGCTGACCAGGTATTTGTGCCAAAGTGAATGAAAATGCATCCCGTATAACAGATATTTACATTACGATTCATGACAGTAACAAAATTACAGTTATGAAGTAGCAACAAAAATAATTTTATGTTGGGGGTCACCACAACATGAGGAACAGTATTAAGGGGTCATGGCATTAGGAAAGTTGAGAAACACTGGGCTATATCAAACAGTTAAGTAACTCAGTTTGAATATGTCTGTGTGAACATAGTGTTGACTGTACACATATTTAAGGGCCGCAAATCCTACCACTTCCACAACCTGTGGGATCAAAGTCCAAATGTTTATAGTACAACGTCCCTCCAACCACTGTCCTGCTTCCAAACCAGAGCTTGAATAAGTCATGTTTTTGTACTGCAGCCATTCCTCCATCCCAACCAAAAAAGTGCAGCTAGCACAGCTATTGAGAGCTATAATCCCACAAAGATTCTGGGAGGTATTGTTTCGAATGACAATAACTTGGAAAACCATTGATCTGGTTCTTCAGGGAACATATCACCAAGGAAATAACATCTCTTTCTCTCCACCTCCCAAACTACAAAACATCCAGCAAATTCCTTCTGTTATAGAGAATCATAGAATCATAGAGTTGGAAGAGACCTCATGGGCCATCCAGGCCAACCCCCTGCCAAGAAGCAGGACAATTGCATTCAAAGCACCCCCAACAAATGGCTATGAAGCCTCTGTTTTAAAGCCTCCATAGAAGAAGCCTCCACCACATTCTGGGGCAGAGAGTTCCACTACTGAACAGCTCTCAGTTAAGATGATCTTCCTAACGTTTAGGTGCAATCCCCTTTCCTGTAGTTTGAAGCCATTGTTTTGCATCCTAGTCTCCATGGAATCAGAAAACAAGTTTTCTCCCTCCTCCCTATGACTTCCCCTAACATATTTATACATGGCTATCATGCCTCTTCTCAGTCTTCTGCAGGCTAAGCTCTTTAAGCCGCTCTTCATAGGGCTTGTTCTCCAGACCCTTGATCATTTTAGTCACCCTCCTCTGGACACATTCCAGCTTGTCAATATCTCTGAGAAGGCCCAAGGCTAACAAACTCCATGCCCACCACTTTTCCCAGTTCACCAAGGATAGTACTGTTTAATCCTTTCATGCCTCACTTTCTCTGATTAAAAAAAAAGCAAATTACAATAGAGTCTTGCTTATCCAGCCTTTGCTCATCCAACGTTCTGTATTATCCAATGCAGACTGCCTCCAAAGCTGTTTCAATACATTGTGATGTTTTGGTGCTAAATTTGTAAATACGGCAATTGCCTATATAACAATATTTTGTACACTTATTTATTTGTACACTTATATACCGCAATATCTCAGCCTACAACGGCGACTCATTGCGGTTAACAGTACTTAAATACTGTATATTGAGCTGCTTTTTCTGTTGATTTGTTGTAAAACATGATGTTCTTGTGCTTAATTTGTAAAATCATAACATAATTTGATGTGAAATAGGCTTTTCCTGTTGGCCCGTTTATGTTGGACAAGTGAGACTCTTCTGTATATGATTTCACATTCCTCCTTCACCTTCAGTTTACTTCAATTGCTACAAACTGAAGTGCAAAACAAAAAAAAAGTAATTGTAGTGCTGTGTGGTTTCCAGGCTGTATGGCTGTGTTCTAGAAGCATTTTTATCCTGATATTTTGCCTGCATCTGAGGATGGCAAGTCCAGAGGATTGGATGGTATATACCTGTGGAATGTTCAGGGTGGGAGGAAAGAACCATTGTTTCTTAAAGTAGTGTGAAGGGTGCAATTAGCAAGCTTAGAAGTAGCCTGGCCTTTGTTCCCATTGAATTGTTTGTTCCGTGTAAACAGAATCTGTAAACCCCAGCTCCTTCAAGATGAACCAAATCACCTAAATTGGGCTCTACAGGCTTCTGCAGGCATCTGAAGAGCTACAAGACCAAGAAC